TATATATAAACATACCTTAAACTTTTTTTTATTTCAGCTAGTTGCCAAAGCAACATTTCTCATTTTCATTTAGTTTAACTTGATGTTCTTAAATAACTAATATTGGTATATTGGTAATAACTATATAATATAAAAAATTATATAGACATTTTTGTAATCAACTAATAAAAATAACAAAAGCACAACAAAATTGCTAATTGAAATAAAAATAAAGTTAAAATGAAAACAGAAAAAGAAAAAGAAAAAAAAAGATTTTAAGTCTGCATGAGCAAAGAAATAAAAAGGAACATGAATCTGTTTTTAGGCCAAAGGGTTCAAAAGAAAAGGTTCAATTCAAGCAGTTGCAGGCTTTCGAAGCTTTGAGTAGGAGACCCCAAATTTGGTCAGTGAACTATTCAAAACCAATACGGTTCTTTAGGTTCTTTAGGTAGTTTTAGTTTCATGGAAAATCAAAAATCTGTCCGAACAAAAACACTGGAGCTTTTCACCTTCAGTGCTTGGCCCATAATTTTAAGTTTCGTTTGCTTTATTATTGATGTTTTGTGAAATTTGCCTCTCGTGTTTCTGTGTGCTGTAGAATATTGTGGGTGTCTTAATGGGGGCTGGTGCCAGGAGGAAGGACGCTGTGATTGTGCTCAGTTCCAGGGTCTCGGGGATCGCTGTCAAATCAGTAAGCACACACACACACACAGGTTACATTCAATTTAAAATGCCTCCATTATGCCTCCATGTAATTGTAGTAAGGTACTGTCTGATTTTATCATCTGCCACCCAGTGCTGAGCATTAGATGTGGATAAAAGAACCCTGAATTTAATTACTAGAATTCAAGTGGCATTACTCCCTGGTTCCAGTTAATCTACGTGACTATGTTTTACTGCATTTGTTGGCATTGGATTACAGATGTGCTGGGAATAGATTGCTGGTCACAAGGAGCTCTGTATGTGTGTTTAATTTACCAAGCACTATAAGGCTAGGCAGCTGGTGTGACCAACAGAATAACAGGATACTACATATACTGTATTCATATAAGCCATACTGATTACATGCCTAACAGGGCATAGATTACATGGAACACAAATATTGAATTAAATGGTTGAATAATCATTTACAAAAAATAACAAGAATTACGGTACCTTGATACTCCCACCATGGATTTTTGGACATGGTAGCATACAGTAGTAATAATGCATGTACCATAACAATACCATGTTTTTGGCCATACTGTATGTACTCTTTTGAAGAAATAGTACTTTTATTCAGCAAGGATGTATTACATTTATAAAATGGGACAGTAAAGACATTTATAATGTTACAAGGTTTCTATTTAAAAACAAATGCTCTTTCTATTCATTAAAGAATCTTGAAAAAAAATGTATCACAGTTTCCACAAAAATATTAAACAGAACAACTGTTTTCAGCATTGATAATAAGCAATGTTTCTTGAGCAGCAAAGCAGCATATTAGAAGGATTTCTGAAGGATCGTGCGACACTGAAGACTGGAGTAATGATGCTGAAAATTCAGCATTGTCATCAAAGAATAAATTACATTTTAAAATAACCATTTGACCATCGCCATTTAAATTGTAATAACAGTATTACTGTTTATACTGTACTTCTGATCAAGTCATGGCAGTCTTGGTGAGCAAATGAGTCTTCTCCAAACCTTTGAATGGCAGTGTGCATATTTTGTAATCATTCAGTCCGATAATTCCATAGTATTATAAGCACTTTATTGTGTCATGGTACCACCACAGCATTTTTTTTTTATAGGAGATTTTTGTCTTTTTTTTTAATCAGTTCCCAACCATGGTCAGGACAGGGATGGGATTTGCCGTTCATGGGGTCAGCATCATTTTGAGACCTTTGATGGGATGTATTACTACTTCCCTGGAACCTGTTCATATATCCTGGCCAAAGACTGCCATTCCACAGAGCCCCAGTATACAGTGTGGGTAAGTTACAACTGTGCCAGGTCTGTGCTATTTATGTTTCTCTTTTGATACCTGCATTGCTAATTTATTTCTCATTGGCAGGTTCATAACAGTCGTTCATGTAGAGCTTCAGTGTATTCATGTCCACGTGGTCTGACTCTGTTCTTCCCAAATGAAGAGGAAATCTATATCAGTGGTTATCAGGTGCTAAAGGGAGGACATATGTGAGTTTGGGCATTTTATTAATGTTAAATATTAAATTGAAGCTTTTTTTTAGTAAGTGAATGCAAAACTTTTGTGTATGAAATGCAAAGTTTTTTTGGGGCAAATGCAAAAGTTCATGCAATCAAATACAAAATTTCTCAGGGAAGCACAAAACTTTTGTGAGCAAACGCAACATTTTTCTATGGGTAATGCAAAACTTTTTTGAGTGAACGCAAAGTTTCTTGGGCAAGCACAAAAGTTTTGCCAGCTAATGGGATTTTTTTCAGGTGAACGCAAAAGTTTTGCAATCCAATACAAAGTTCCTTGGGGGAGAACAAACTTTTGTAATTAAAAGCAAAAAAGTTTCTCAGGCAAATGCTAAACATTTTTTGAGTAAACAAAGTTTCTTGGGGGAACGCAAAACTTTTAAAAAAGTGAATGCAAAGCTTCTCAGGGGAGCACAAAACTTTTGCAATGAATGCAAAATTTTGTCAGCAAACACAAAATTTTTCAGGGAAACTTTTGTGAGTGAACGCCAAAGCATTCAAATATGATTCTTTTTTAACCCCCAGCGGAATGCACAGTAATGGGGGACGCACATGTGACCACATTCGATGGGCGGATCTTCATGCACATGGGCTCTTGCCAGTATGTGCTAGTGAAGAGCCGCGGCAGCACCAAGTTTACTCTCACACTACAGTACAGAGCCTGTGGAGAGGTAAGAAGAGCCTCCAGTAAACACACACAAAACATCTTTGATGACAAACATACCCAGAAATGCTCTCTCATCTTTCAGTCTCAGGAACACTCTTGCATCCACTCAGTGGCTCTGGTGGTGGATGAAGATGCCAGCAGGCAGGTCACTCTCACCAGAGAGGGGGAAATTGTTATTGGGGCCAGTATGGCTGTCAATTTGCCTTACTCGGATGGTAAGGTTCTCAGTTTTACATCAGTATTGGGCCACTTTAACAGTAAATGTATTCTTATGGCTGTAGCCTATTTAGTTAGATGAAAGCACAACTGTGAGGGACAATCCTAGATCATATCTACTTTTCTCATTTTTACTAAGGCCCATTATCTTTTATTTCACATTTCGAAATGCAGTAATAAATATAATATATGAGTTTAGTTAGTTAAAAATGCTGATAAATAGTGAGATTACATAATAATAGTAAAAAGAATGGAGATGTAATTAAGAATAGTACAAAGCTATTAGTAGAGCAATAAAGAAAATGGACAGCAAAAGAAAATAAATAAAAATTAATTGAAAAATAACCAAAAATTGCATAGGAAACTAATTATCCATACATAAGAATATATAATACATGTGTGCTATTTATTGAATGAAATTTTTTTTTTAACAGGTATATATTTTTATAATTTATTTTGGGCATTGCTGTGTTTGTTTAAATTTCATAATGATTTTTCTTTAGTCTCTGCAGAAACGGTCGTATGGAGTGTGTGTCTGAAGAGAGAGGTAAACTTAGTTTTTTACTTTTTCTTTGCTCCATTTCATCAGTCTCTTTGACCCTCTATTCACTCTTACCTCTATTTTCCCTGAGAAAAAGTGTTTTCATCTTAGAGGGTCACAGTACATTCCTCAGAGGTAACGCATTGAGCGGACTGAATGCTGGACAGATCTGAACCTCAGATACACATGCACAAAGAAAGAGGGAGTCTTGTGGGGTTGGAGACGGCAAATTCCACTTTTTGCTTTTTTTTCTTGTCTGTTTGACTTTTTTCCTGACTTTTCCAATTGACAAAATAGTAGGACATTGCTCATTTGCAAGATTTGGCTGTGATTTAAAATCTTCAACAGTATTCAGGTTGCTGCATTATTAATGTGTCCATTTTAGTTTTTCAGTTCAATAGATTTGAACCATTTAGATTGAACTGGTTGCCTGTTAACCCTAATTCCCTTTGATAATTATTAGTAGTGCAATCATCACTATTACTCATACTCATGACTATGGATTTGACCACAGCCCTAACTCAAATTGCTAAACATTGGCACATAACTCTTTCCCGTATCGTTTTAAATGATACCTGAAGTCATGGGTCTTGTTGAGAAGAGTGGAAAATTTAGTCAGACTGAAGCCAGGAGTCATATCTAGAGGCCAGAATATCATAGAGACTTGGGGGTGGACATTTTTTGACTTAGTCCAGCAAGCAATCGACTATAAATTTCGCAGCAGCTGAATTAGAAACTACTTTTGCTTGGACTAGCACCACTTTAGTTTAGTTTGATATTATACTCTTTCTTTCAACCATTCTCTCTCCATCCATTTTTTCAGAGCCTGAGAGAGGAGATTGTCCCAATGGAAAAGTCTACTATAGCTGCAGTGGTCAGAGTGGGCGTGGATCTTCAGGTGTGGGCGTGGCCTGTGAACTGACCTGTCGAAACCTGATGCTGAACCTGACCTGCCCTCCCATGACCCCATGTGTACCAGGATGTGGATGTCCTGCTGGGTAATCGCTGTCATCTTTGCATTTGGAACAAATGTTTTGAAACGCATTGACACCAGAGCATGTAATGTTACACCATCTTCTTCAATTGGTGCAGGCTAGTGGCTCATAATGGAGAATGCTATTACCCGGAGAACTGCCCTTGTGCATGGCTCGGTCTAGAGTATCTCCCTGGAGAGTCAGTGGACACTCCATGCTACCGCTGGTCAGTTTGTTTCAGTGTGCTTAGCTTCCATAATTCCTGTTAATGGGTGATTCTTCAATTAGTGGAACTTTTCTGTTCCCCATCTGTGTGTCTAATTACTATTTCCAAATTAAGAGTGTTGAAAGGCTATATATGACAGAATCCCTTTTTAACTTTTAAAATGTGTCTTCAGCACCAAATCAGCATATTAGAATGATTTCTGAAGGATCATTTGACACTGAAGACTGGAGTAATGATGCTGACAATTCAGCTTTGCATCACAGGAATAAATTACATTTTTACATTACATTTTTTATGTATTTTAATCAAATAAAAGCAGCCTTGGTGAGCATAAAATACTTCTTTCTAATACATTGAAAAAGTGTTACCAACCCCAAACATTTAAAAATGTCTCCCAAAAATGATAAATGTCATCACCATTACAAATCATAACAAAAAATCCACACTATGATGCATTACAACAAAATTAACTTTATGGTTCGTAAAGGCCGTGATTATATCTTTTTTCCACATGTGATAGTTGTTTTAATATAGAAGAAACATTGTTAGAAAAAAAAAATTCAATAGTTTGAATAATCAGAAAAGCCTCTAATTGCAGAATCACAGTGTATGTGTGTATATTTCAGTAATATTTCACTTGGTTTCTCTGACTCTTTCCAGTGTGTGTCATCGTGGGTTCTTTAACTGCACATATTCACCGTGTCCAGCTGTGTGTACCATTTACAGTGACCGTCATTACCACACATTTGATGGCCTGGAGTATGATTATGTCAGCGACTGCCAGGTTTACCTGGTCAAGGTACTTCCTGAGTGTGCTTGTTTGTGACTCTAGCAAAAATGCCAAATGCACCATGCTGTTTAGACACATGTGTTGACCAGACCTATAAATCTGATATCTGTCTATTTTGAAATTAGAGACTTTGTTTGAAAGTTTGGGGTCGGTAGAAAATTCAAAAGAACAGCTTTTTTTTTTTAAGATAGAAATGTTTTTGAATCATTATAAATGTCTTTAATATCGTTTTTTTTCTTATCAATTTAATGCATATAATACTTAAGTATAATGTATTTTGCAAAAAAAAAAAAATCTTACTTAACCCAAACTTTTAAATGGTATTTACCGTTTTTAGATTACAGGCATTACTGTATATTGCCCACCCTCGACTGTAGTTATAACCATCGGCCATTTAAAAAACCCACAGTGGTCGACAGTTTTACCATGGTTTCTGCTTTTTTGTGTGGGTAAGCTTAAATGTAAGAGTAAGCATATCTTTGTGTACAAGTTCTGTAAAACGGCGACGATCGTTTGCCTTGTGTGCTGGTCTTAGGACCAAGTGGAGAGGCGCTTACCAGCTTGCCTTCAACAAAGGGTGCGTTTCACCAGTTGAACGTGTTGCACCTTTAAACTGAAGAATTTTTAACGAAGGGCTAAAGAGTGTGTGCGTGTGTGTGTGCTCTCACACGTTGCAGACTTCAGTAGGGACGGATAAAGTAGCAGGAAAAGAGATCTGCTTCTACCGCCTCTAATCTTGGGAAAATCAGAGGGGATTTTTAATTAGAACAGGGCTGTGGTAATGGAGCCAGAGTTAATGTCAGTCCCAGCACAGAAACTCAGCAAAGAGCCGCACATAACAAAGAGCAATCTGTTCCCTATCAGCCTACGCAATGCAACCTGCTACTGCCCTTAATGACTGAGAAAGTGTGTATGCATGTGTGCGTCGTTTGTGTGTGTGTGTGTGTGTGTGTGGATGCTTAAGGTGCAGGTGAATAGACTTTGGTGTCTCCTAAAGGCCAGTGATTCTCTAAGGAGTCTACTGATCTACCCGGGGGCCAGACTTTTCCATCACGACAAAAAGAAATGGCTTTAGTCTCACACACACACACACACACACACACACACACACACAACAACAACACACAAGGATTTGTTGCTATGAGCTGATGCATCAGCAATTTATATAAGATGTCACGTTTTAATGTTAAATTACTTTCTCCTATCCTAATTTAATATGCAGATATATAGATCTATAATTAAGACATTCATTGGTTGAATTCCTGAAGAGTGTAAACAAAGTGACTCTGTGGTGCTTTCAAAATATTGCTTGTTTGAGAGGTCCGACATATCAGCTTCTTGCTCAACCATTGGGATGAGACTGGGATGGGATTACCGTTCAAAAGATTGGGGTCAGTGTGATTTTACTGTCATAAAATGTTTAAGTCTCTCATATTCACCAAGGCTGCATTTATTTGATCAAACATACAGTAAAAACAGTAATATTGTGAAATATTTTTACAATTTATGAGAACAGTTTTCTATTTGAATATATTTTAAAATGTAATTTATTCCAGCGATGCAAAGCTGAATTTTCAACATCATTACTCCAGTCTTCAGTACATGATCCTTCAGAAATCATTCTAATATGCTGATTTGAAAAAAAACATTTCTTATTATTATCTTGAAAACAATTGTGCTTCTTTACATTTTTGTGGAAAACATGATACATTTTTTTCAGAATAGAAAGTTCAAAAGAACACTATTTTCTTGAACTAGAGTTAACTAGATTAGACTAACTTGACTAGAGATTTTATTATAAATGTCTTTTTCTGTCACTTTTGATCAATTTAATGCATCCTTGCTGAATAAAAATATTGATTTCTCAAAAAAAAAAAACATGACTCAAATGCTCCCATCTCCACCCAAATATAAAATCTGCCGTCGGTTAATGAAGATTTGACGGATGAACTCAGAGCTCGATTGGACTCTTGTCATGTCAGAAAGTGATAAGACTTTCAGTTTTATGGACATTGGCATCTTTGATATTACTTTGGTCACTGTTGCTATGGTAAGGAATACAGGCTTGACTCCCGTTGCACGCTACTGTAAGTTTCTGTGTGAACGGGACATTTCGAGACTCACACCTTTAACTAAATGCGGTTGTCAATCCCAAAAACTGACAGTGTGAAAGAAGCCAGAGATGATAATGAGTCATGTATCGATTGCTCACTATACTTGTGTTAATCTTGTGTCTATATGTAGAGTGTTGGTGATCCGGAGGTGTCCATCATGGCTCAAAATAAAGATTGCTACGAAAGTGGGATTGTTTGCATGAAGTACCTGCTCATCTATGTTGGCCTCACTAAAATCTACTTCAGTGACAACTCTGGTAAACCTGTGAGTACAAGACATAACCCATCTTCAGTTGTTTAATGGCACATTTGTCCTTTCACAAACTAGGAGACTATAATTGTTTCTAAGTTCAAATGCATATCTTTTAGTCTGTATTTACTGTAATCTGTCAATTTGAATTGGTTTGTGCTTGTCAGAGCTCATCTACTGTTGTGGGAAGAGGATATGAGTTTCAGCTGTGGGGTGCGGGATACTACACTGTGGTCCACTTTCCTGCTCAAGATCTGACCATTTTATGGGACCGCAAGACCACTGTCCATATTCGTGCTGGACCCCAGTGGAAGGTCAAAGCTTGTTTTCTCTCGATCATCAGTATAATTTTATACTGTATCAACCATGTATCTTACTATAATGTATTTGGCTGTGTTTTTAGGGTCAAATGAGTGGTTTGTGTGGAAACTTTGACATGGTAACAGTAAATGACATGACCACAGCTGGACATATGGAGGTCAGTAACACACAGGCCTTTGGAGACAGCTGGGCTGTTGGACAGGTATAACACTTCAGGATACTGGAGTACACTAAATGTACACTACTGTTTGAAAATTTGGGGTCAGTAAGATTCTTCTTTAAAATAAATTAGTTTTTAGCTGTGTGGAGTACTTTTTATGATGGATGAATGCACTTTATTGGACTTCTATTGGACTATTGAATCCCAACAGCCATTCACTGCCATTATAAAGCTTGGAAGCGCCAGGACATTTTTTTAATATAACTCTGATTGTATTCGTATGAAAGAAGAAAGTCATATACACCTAGTATGGCTTGCGGGTGAGCATTTTTGAGTAAACTATCACTTTAATGTTTCCTGAGCAGAAAATCAGCATATTAAAATGATTTCTGAAGGATCTTGTGACACTGAAGACTGGAGTAATGATGCTGAAAATTCAGCTTTGATCACAGGAATAAATTAAATTTTTAAATAAAATAATATTTTGCAATATTAGTCTACTTAACTGTATTTTTGAGCAAATAAATGCAGACCTGGTGATCATTAAAGCCTTGTTTTAAAAACATAAAAAAATCTCACTGACCCCCAATTTTATACAGTATGTATTCTTAAAAAATTTCATGTTAACCATGGTTTCTTCCATACTTTTATTACTAGTGTAAAAGCATAGTAAACTGTACTGAGTTACACTTGAAGTTTAGATTGACTAAACAGCTTTTATGTGTTAATGTGTGTGCAGTGTGAGAGCGACTTTGTAGTTCGCAGACTGTGTGAAGGAGATCTCAGTCGGCAGCCGTATGCTAAGCGGGAGTGCGGCCTTCTCTACAGTGACGTATTTGCTCCATGTCACAATGTGGTGAGCAGCTCTCCTCTGGGGTTTAACAACACATTTTGCCTACAGATAAATAGGCCACGTCTTACCTACAGCCACACACAGGCTGGCAGACAGCATGAGACGCAACACACTGCCTGCGATGAACCATCTGATAGATTTTTTGTGATAGAAGCTTTGAGACGGTTTGCCATTCAAATTCTGACCACTGTATAGGTTTGAAAAGCTCGAACATTCCACCATTAACCCATTCAGATGGAAGTCAGTAGTCCTGAGCAGTGTTGGGGGTAACTCATTACATGTAACGCGAGTTACGTAATCAGATTACTTTTGTCAAGTAACTAGTAAAGTAATGCATTACTTTTTTAATTTACAAGAAAATATCTGAGTTACTTTTTCAAAAAAGTAATGCCAGTTACTTTGTTTTCCCATTTATTGACTGACAAGTCTCCTGTCCCCATATTGGGAGGAATCGGAAGTGCAGAGGAATTGTGTGCGCTGTGTGAACATGATGCTACTGTAGTTCTAGACTAAATGTGAATGTGCATTAATTCATCCCACTCACAAAAAAACAGATTTAGTATTCATCAAAATGAATTAAAACATTGAAACGCAAACTCAGAATATGACGCAAACCTGCAATAATTAAATATGTTAAATAACACAAATGTATCTAATCCCATTTTATTAACCAATATCTTTGCTGCTGACCTTTGATGATCCAGTTCAACCATACTAATAAGCAAAAATGACTTTAGAGAAACTAACAATTGTGCTTCGTTTTTTTTTATTGCTGAAGAGTGTTTCTTCTCCTGCGTTCTACTGTACAGACGTGAATTTACTTTTGCTTCAGCCTGAGGTTTATTCATTACACTTTTTGGTGTTAAAAAGGGCTTTTATATTTGCTATAAATAGAACTTCTTATATTAAAAACAATCAAGCCCTGCTCATATTTAAAAAGTAACGCAAAAGTAATATAACGCATTACTTTCCATAAAAAGTAACTAAGTAACGTAATTAGTTACTTTTTTAGGGAGTAATGCAATATTGTAATGCATTACTTTTAAAAGTAACTTTCCCCAACACTGGCCCTGAGTGTGTGTTGCATAACCAATTGTGTGTTCATGACAGGCTAATTGAGATTTTAGATAGCCATTTATTGTGCGTAACCAATCCTTGTGGTCCCTCAGGTGGATGTGACCTGGTTTTATAAGAACTGTCTAACGGACACCTGCAACTGCAACCGTGGGGGTGACTGTGAATGTCTGTGTACCAGTATTGCAGCATATGCACACAAATGCTGTCAAAATGGTGTCACGGTGAACTGGAGATCCCCCACCGTGTGTCGTGAGTACAAGCACACACATAATGAAGCAAATGAACTTCTGACCCGTCAGTGTAGGTTAATGGGTCAAAGACGAAAAGTGGTTTTCAAGCATCAAAACAATTCAAGTTTAATTCAGCTTTAAATTAGAATGCGTCCTATTATAATTTATTTTGGTTTCTGTCATATAAAATTGTCGGGCATATTTAGAACCAGAATCATTAATTAAAAAACTCTATTTAAGGATCACAATGCTGCCCTAAAAACTAATAAATTGCATTTTAAATCTTTACCAATCTTTGCCACTATCCTGCAAACCACTAGGTTTTTTATCATTTAAAATATAATGAAATTTAGTATGATCATATTTTCACATTTTAAAGTATAGGTCAGAATGAGTATGTTATTTCATTTTTACATAAATATATATCTGTTACGCTGAATGAGGATGGAGCATTATTTCAACATCCATATTTTGACATTTTATATTCACAAAAGGTATTTGAAATATTAAAGCCGACACATTACTTATATTTAATATGCTTTCTATGTATTTCAAGTCACTTTTGTAAATTTAATTTGATGCAGACACCGAAATGAGATGTCTCGTCTTTGACCCTAATACTGTACGCATAGACAAACTAACATTTCTAATGCAAAACTAACCCAGCATTCAGTTTGTACTTTTTCAAGACTGCTCCTCTTTGCTGTCAGGATGTGTTAATATAACCAGACTCTGATTCTGTATTCTGTTTCAGTTGCAGATTTGTCACATTAAAAAAGTTAAATGCGCAGCTAATGCTGTGTCATGTTGCTTTTTAAGCTGGTAATGTTGAAATATTGCATGCACTCGTAATACAACCTGATTGCGGCTAATATAAGTATGTTTCTTTAAACAGCATATGACTGTGAATATTACAACCAAGGTAAGAATGATTTATACTGTTTATTTGCCTAGAATACTTCTGTAAGCACCAGAAGATCTTTCCCTAAGTTTTTTATGTATGTATGCTTGGTTAGAGCTGGGAGAGGGTCCGTTCACTCTGTCTAGTGCAGAGCAGAATGACTCTGTGTGTGTGTTTGGGGCGAATGTGAGCAGCGGTGAAGTGTTTCCCCTTCTGAGGACCAACGCTCAACCCAGCACCATTTTCCACTTCATGATCACAACTGGACTATACAAGGACCGAGCTTCCAGTGAGCACATACTCTTCATTTCAACAGCAAAACAAAAAGCAAAACGAATTGCAGAAAGAAAAAGACTAAAACTAATATGCATCATACACATGCTTTACTGCAAAATACAATGATCTGGTGTTTTTTGGAGTGGATTAGTTTGCATTAAATGCTGCTCCACACAAACTCCATCTTTGCAAGCTCATATGAGCTTATGCATTTGAAAACTTAACATGCCAACCACATTCCCAAATTTGTGATGAGAATCAAATCTGTTTTTAACATTTGAAAGCTAAGTAATTAAGACAAATATTAATAATGTTATTTTTGTACTGTAAAATCGAACAATAATAATATTAATAATAATACTTATAATCTTTTTATTTTACAGTATTAAAATATGAAATACAATAGGTACATAAATCTTAATTCATTTGTTTAATTTTTACAATTGAAAATACAATTATACAATTGTATTATTATTACATTTTTAAAAAAGGTTTTGCATTACAGTAGCATTATTGTAATAGTAATATTTCTGGTTACACTTTATTTTAAGGTATCCTTGTTACGGTGTAATTATACATTTAAATACTTAGTAATATTAATTTACTACATACTGTATACTTACTATATGGTTAGGGTTAGGATTAGGGTTTGTTTTAGGGTTACTTGCATGCAATTATGCATAATTAATTGTTATTATAATAGTAAGTACATGTAACATGTGTAACAAGGACACCTTAAAATAAAGTGGGACCATATTTCTTTATTGATTTATTATTATTATTGTATAGCCATACTGAATGGGGGAAAACAGGTTTTTCTTCCTTTTTGTCCTCAGCTGATCATATGTCTGCATCTTATTAGACAATTGAACTAAATCGACCAGCTTCTGAAAGAATTATAATTTTTTTTACATGTGGCTTATCGCTTTCATTTATTTTAAAGCTGAATAGTAGCATCTACTGATGTTGTATTTGGTATTTTGCACTGTTTCAGGACTTCCTGTTGTCTCACTGGAGTTTTGGCCCTAATACCCACAGACAAACCAACATTTCTAATGCAAAACTAACCCAGCATACAGTTCGTACTTTTCAAAACTGCTCCTCTTTGCTGTCAGGATCTGTTTATATAATAATACTTTGATTACGTATTCTGTTTCAGTTGCAGATTTGTCACATTAAAAAAGTTAAATGCGCAGCTAATGCTGTGTCATGTTGCTTTTTAAGCTGGTAATGTTGAAATATTGCATGCACTCGTAATACAACCTGATTGCGGCTAATATAAGTATGTTTCTTTAAACAGCATATGACTGTGAATATTACAACCAAGGTAAGAATGATTTATACTGTTTATTTGCCTAGAATACTTCTGTAAGCACCAGAAGATCTTTCCCTAAGTTTTTTATGTATGTATGCTTGGTTAGAGCTGGGAGAGGGTCCGTTCACTCTGTCTAGTGCAGAGCAGAATGACTCTGTGTGTGTGTTTGGGGCGAATGTGAGCAGCGGTGAAGTGTTTCCCCTTCTGAGGACCAACGCTCAACCCAGCACCATTTTCCACTTCATGATCACAACTGGACTATACAAGGACCGAGCTTCCAGTGAGCACATACTCTTCATTTCAACAGCAAAACAAAAAGCAAAACGAATTGCAGAAAGAAAAAGACTAAAACTAATATGCATCATACACATGCTTTACTGCAAAATACAATGATCTGGTGTTTTTTGGAGTGGATTAGTTTGCATTAAATGCTGCTCCACACAAACTCCATCTTTGCAAGCTCATATGAGCTTATGCATTTGAAAACTTAACATGCCAACCACATTCCCAAATTTGTGATGAGAATCAAATCTGTTTTTAACATTTGAAAGCTAAGTAATTAAGACAAATATTAATAATGTTATTTTTGTACTGTAAAATCGAACAATAATAATATTAATAATAATACTTATAATCTTTTTATTTTACAGTATTAAAATATGAAATACAATAGGTACATAAATCTTAATTCATTTGTTTAATTTTTACAATTGAAAATACAATTATACAATTGTATTATTATTACATTTTTAAAAAAGGTTTTGCATTACAGTAGCATTATTGTAATAGTAATATTTCTGGTTACACTTTATTTTAAGGTATCCTTGTTACGGTGTAATTATACATTTAAATACTTAGTAATATTAATTTACTACATACTGTATACTTACTATATGGTTAGGGTTAGGATTAGGGTTTGTTTTAGGGTTACTTGCATGCAATTATGCATAATTAATTGTTATTATAATAGTAAGTACATGTAACATGTGTAACAAGGACACCTTAAAATAAAGTGTGACCATATTTCTTTATTGATTTATTATTATTATTGTATAGCCATACTGAATGGGGGAAAACAGGTTTTTCTTCCTTTTTGTCCTCAGCTGATCATATGTCTGCATCTTATTAGACAATTGAACTAAATCGACCAGCTTCTGAAAGAATTATAATTTTTTTTACATTTGGCTTATCGCTTTCATTTATTTTAAAGCTGAATAGTAGCATCTACTGATGTTGTATTTGGTATTTTGCACTGTTTCAGGACTTCCTGTTGTCTCACTGGAGTCTGCAGAGAGGCCCAACTACTTTCTGTGTGTTACTGGGAACCGTGGGTTACGACTGGAACACTGGCAGCCTGGGGAAGAGTTCCGACGTAAGGTGACCTTCATCCACCACCAGGGCCTGTGGTTACCTGGTCGATCGTCCTTTGAGTTGTACAGTCAGAAGGGTGTCTTCCTCACTCTCTCTCATACACACGCACAAGCTCAGAACTACGACCACTCATATACCTTCAAAATCAGCAGCAGTTTTATCATTGAGGGTAAGACCGGTCTGCAAATATCTATATATCAAATATACTGTGCACGTATAATTTATCTAACCATCAGGCCCATATTACCTGTACTGATTATGGAATGGATTTAAATGTAATGCAATGTATTAAACAGAGCAGACACAGACTTACTGGAAACAGACTTATTGGAAGTGTGGATTTCTGCAGATGCATGTCATATAAGCTCATGTTACACCAAAAATACAATCAAATAACTCCTATAAACCTACAAGCTTACCAACCTCATTTGCAGTGCTTTCTCTTATGTCTCTAATGTTTATGATGATTGTGTTCCTGCATTTTAGAGAGCAGTTTTGTGATCCCCTACCGCTTGATATGTGAGTGGAAATATCATGCATGTGCCAGTCCATGTGTGAAAACATGCAACGACCCCGATGCAACACGCTGCCAGTTTTTACCTCCGTAAGACCATGTGCATATGCTAATATAATCATTTATATGACAGTTATACAAAAGGCGCTTGCTAAGGCAGGTATTATACATTGTCATATTTCAAAACCAAAAGAAAGATATTTATGAAAATTAAGTCTTAGGACAGTGGTTTTCATCCAGGGGGACGGGGCCCACAAGGGGGCCTCAAGGATTTAAATTAATAAATTATTAATATAATAAAATAATCAAACTAATCTGATTTAAAATGCTTAAAAAACACATTAAATCTAGATGTAAACGGAAATTTATTTTTATATAATACAATATAAATATAATAAATACTAAATGTAAAATAATTTAATTTTTTAACATTAATAACCTCAATAACTGTGTTTTTAACTGTAGAACATACAGTACACTTCTTGAAACTTTTGAAGTTACAAAATGAATCATGGTTAATTAATTTAATTAAAGGCGTGGTTCATTGCGATTTCACTTTTTTAACATTAGGTAGTGTGTAATGTTGCTGTTTGAGCATAAACAATATCTGCAAAGTTACGAAGCTGAAAGTTAAATGCAAACGGAGATATCGTCTTTTAAAATCCTGGCAGTTTAATGCCTACAAAAACGGCTGGTAGGGACTACAACGAGTTACTTCCCGGGTTTGTGACGTAACAAACCCAGATAAACCCCGCCCTCGGGAGAAGGCAACAAAGGGGGCGTGGCCATGCTGCGCTGCTTTAGAGAAGAGGAAGAGAAAACTAGAGGTGCACTTAATAATCTATTCATATATGAATCGCGATTAAGTTTCAAAATCAATGTTCTAAATACTGTTCCTCGCATTCCCCTGCTGTGCACACGCTCTGCATCTCTCTCTCTCTCTCATTCAGCTCAGCTCCAACAATGAACTGTTACAATTATACACTTATTTTCACATAGCTATGAGAAGCGTTAAACATGGACGTGCATGCAGTTGCCGTACTGTATTAAAGCTTTAATCAGGATAAAACTGTATATTAAAAGTTAACATAAGCAGTAGCATTTACAAATAACAGCGTATCTAAAAGTATGAGACAACAACAAACAAAAAACATAGACCTACCATTAAAAGCTGTGCTTGCAAAGGTTCTGCCCGATCCTCTTCAATAATATCCTCTGCTTCTCAATCGGGCTCAAACTGATAAGCGATATTAACGACGTCGTTGTTTACAATACAACCGGAGCACATGCCGCTGAGGGGAGGGGCGGGACGTTAGACGCACACTAGAGGCAGTTTAGCCAATCACAACACACTGGGCTAGCTTAATTATGGTTAAAAAGGTAAATTATGTGAAAAATAATGCGTTTTTAAAAAAAACAAAGCATTAAGACATGTTAGACTGCACCCCATAAACACAATCAAGCCTAGAAAAAAAACAGTGAACGACCCCTTTAAAATAAAATTTTAATGAAAATCATCAATGAGGATAATGAGGACTACAAAAACAATAAACCAAAAAACTAAAACATCTGGACATATTGTGATATTTTTGGGGTGAGTATATACTTACAGTATTTGTCATGAAAATCATGTCACAATGCATAAGAAAATGTTAAACAGGCTTCATGTTTTTTAATGCAAAATCTAATATTATGAGGAAACATGACCTAGACATATTGTTATGAGATTCACCCTCACAATTTCTTCAGAAAAAGTCAAAATCCAAACCTGTTGTCTTTCACTCTCTGATCTGGTTTAGGGTTGAAGGTTGTTTTCCACGCTGTCCCAAGTCTATGCTGTTGGATGAAGTGACCAGGCGGTGTGTTTACAAAGAAGACTGTACGTGTGAATCCATCATATGCATCACTTTCATCATCATCCTATCTTTTATAAACATTTATGCACACTGTTAGATTTGTCTTAGCACCTGTGTTGTTTCTGATGTGCTTGCAGGTGTGATACTATCTCCAACTCCGACTCCTTACATGTTCGTGACCCGATCAAACAGAACCACAGCGGCTCCGACCTCTGCTCCTATAACCACAACTACAACCACAACAACTCCCTCCACCACAACGGCAACAGCAAGCACCGCTCCGAGCACAACTGCCAGTACTACAATCATAACTACACCTTTGGAAGCAGAGGATTTAATTGGCAGCCCAACTACACCCACATTACCACCAACCACACTCTCTTCAACTTTGGCCACCACCACCTCCACTGAAACTCCCACAACTCCCTCTCCACCAACCACAGAACCCCCTCTAGTCAGCACTGCCCCGCCCACCACCACAGCCACGCCCACTACAGAGCCCATAACAACACTTTTTACCACTTTATCTACCTCAACCACAGAGGTGATGACCACACCCGAGCCCACCACCGAACCAGAGACGACCTCTCCGACAACCACCATCCCACCCGCTACAACCAGCACTGTTATTACAACTGAGACCACAACTTCAGAACCGACTTCAACAACCATCACCGCGGAGACAACATCTGTCTCCACAGCAACCGAGGAGCCCTCGACTACTACAACAGCAGTACCAACAACCTCTGAGATAATGCCTTCACCCTCCCCTTCACCGGAGACAGCAGGAATAACAACAGTGCTTACTCCGTTCCTTCTACCCACAGGGCCCTGCACTGTAAGAGTTTGTGTGTTAGGGTTGCTCATTCTTATTAAATATTTTCATTTTGTAGTATTTGATGATATTCATGATCAAATATACTTTAAATATGAAAAGGAACAATGTTCTTAGTGTTTAGTTCTTTTAATGGTTTTTGAATAAACAGTGAATGAATAATAGCCATAATACAAATACATTTAATGGACAAGACATCTTTCTTGTATTGCTATTGTTAACTAAAACTATTAAAAATCATTTTCATTAATTTAAATAAAGCTGAAATTAAAAAAATGAATAAAACTTAAAACTTGATTGATTAGAGCTTAAATATTTTAAATCGAAATATAAAAAAAATACTGAACTAATAAAAATTACAAAAGCGGATAACTATATTAGTAAAACTTAAACTAAAACACACATATCAGTCTTGATCTCATGGGTTGAATTAGTTTGAATCGGTTCAATAGCTCACTAACTTATTCAGAGAATCGTTTGTTGACTCAATCCTTGAGATTGAAGTTAATAAAATGAATGAATGAAACTTAAAAAAAAAAACGTACTTACCTGTATGTCCATCTGAGACTCATGAGACTTAAATTGGTGTAATTGGTCAGTGGTTGTTCAGGCAACAACTTGTATTTAAAGATTAAGAATCAGAGAATTGTTAAAATCCCTAGTATGTCTGAGTGTTCTAAGAAAAATATGTTTTGCCTTTGATATGTTTTGAAAAATATGTTTTGATTCATCTTCCCTGAGATATCAGTGATGGATTCAACAGTACTAAAAGTGAGAGTTGACGTCTCCCATTCCCCTCCCTGACATCTTCAAAATGAGTCATTAATTTATATAGGGTGAACACTTCTACCATTCTTAACTCTTTGTTCTTGAGTCATTCCTGTCTGCTTGCCAGGATGTTGATGTGAATAACTGTACAGTGAATAACTGATAAATCTGGCATAATATAACTCAAAAACAAAAAAGATAATTAATCAATGCATCCCTTCTAAAAATCATCCAGAGGTGCCTTATATCGTTTTTGGTGGTGGAAGGGTTTATATGCTTTCTAACTCGTGAACGTCTCTGTTTTGTATCCTTACAGCCTCCATATTCATTGCGTGTTGACGAGTGCAGTGAGTACATCTGCTTTAATGGACAGCTGATGCTGCACAATTCCTCTCAGCACTGCAGATACAACATCAGCCAGCCTCAGTGCAACCTGCTGGGGACCCCGATCCAGACTAACACAGACCCCTGCTGCCCACTATGGCAGTGCCCATGTAAGACATACACACATGACCATTCAGATTTGCTCTAGATGGGAGGTGTTTATATCTGTGGTGTTTTAGTTTTATTTATATTCTATATTCTATATTAATATTATTTCTCTATTTTTAGTTTTCTTTTTCATTTTTAAGCTATTTTTAGTAATTAGTATTATTTTCAATATTTCTACAGTATATAGATTTGATTTATTTTCAATTTCAATTTTAGTTTTCAGTTAGTTGCAAAGGCAACATTTCTCATTTTCACTCAAGTTTTTTTTATTTTTTATTTAAAGGTCTGTTCACACCTAGGACTATAACTGATTACTATAACAATAACGATTAATATATAGTTTTTAAAATCATTCTAAATCTATAAGAATAGCCACAACCATAATGACAATAACACAGAGAAATTATATCATTGGAATCACTTTCAAAACAATTTTTTTTCCAGCTGATGAACACTAAAAACTTTGTTGTCAGTCTCCGTCCTGCTTTAAAGATCTCAAGCATTTAAAGCAACAGACGACAAAACTGCAACGCACACTTATAATAAACAGAACATCATTGTGCATTGGTGTGGAAGCTAATAAAGTTATATTTATAGTTATCGTTCTTGGTTTGAACAGGCCTTAAGTTTTTCATCTAATATTTGTATTTTATTTCAGTTACTGAAAACAATTTTTAATAGTTTTAGTTAACAATAACAACACTGATTAAGTTAAATAAAGTGTTCTTCAGAAACGCTTTATCATGTTATTGGTGTTTAATGTTTGACTGTGTTTGTGTTCTGTCAGGTCGCTGCTCTATAATCTCTGACCTGCGTGTGATCACGTTTGATGGGAATAATGTGGCTCTGTATGATATCGGTTCTTATATTCTGGTCCACCTGCCCAGAGAGAAAATAGTCGGGCACATTGAGAAATGCCTAACCAGTGAGGTAAACCCAAGCTAACACTCTACCATGAGGAAATATGCGGTCTTCTATATATGCTTTTTACATTTTATTAAATGCTTGGCTTTTCCTTCCAGAGTGTGAACTACATCAGAAGACCCGTGAGTGTGTTATTAGCATATTTATGTTAAAATGTTATCTATTATAATCATCCTAATGAGGATGACAAGCTCGTGTACTTTCTCTCTTCCTGTTAGACTCCCTCTGGTGGAACCTCTGGTCTGTGTTTTAAGAAGCTGAACATTACAACTCAGTCCTACAGAATTATGGTCAACCGCTTGGACCGGAAGGTAATGCCTGCAAGATTTGACGTGTTTAGTCATGAAGTCATGTTGTTCTGAACACAACAAAACACAAACCTGTATTATTATATTAGCTATTATTTCAGCAGCCATTAGATAATATAAAATTGGTTTGCTGAGTAAAATCCCAAAAAATTGCAATAGAAATTCTCATTTATTTAAAAGTCAAAATTGTATCATTATTCATGCATCTTGTGTCTCCGCTTAACTGTGGCTCATAAATGTGATTTACGTTGCTGTGTAACAAGGGTTTGATCTGACACAGGTGTCGGTGAATCAGATTACGGCCCGGCTTCCTCTCACCAGACAGAACCTCCATATTGATGACACCGGGACCATGTACATCATTAATACACCTGGTGGGATCAACATAAAGTGGTACCACAGCACTGGCATCATGGTCCTACAGTACACGGCTCCGGATAACACCTCCACTAGGGGGCTCTGTGGTCAGTGTATTGTACTCGCATTTTGTAGACAAATAATAATATAATATCCTACTTTTCACAATATGTCCAAATCCAGATAAAAAATGTCCCACCCTGTATGAATAGCTATTTAGTTTCATTCTGAAATACGTCACATTCTGGACATTTTTTCATGTTGCTTTTAATAACAGCCTTCGGTCATTTGTGGTCATATAAGCGTGTTTGATGTATTTGGTTTTCTTTCTCAGGATGTTGTGATGGTAATCCAGCTGATGACCTGCGGCTGCCCAACGGTACTGTGGTCCGGGATGTTGAGGACATCCCAGTGTTTCTGCACGGATGGATGGTGGATACATCAGAGGATACAGATTACTTCCGCAGAGTGGGAGACAACTGCACCACCGGCAACTGCTCCAAATGTTTCACCATGCTCAACCAGAGACCTTTCTCTAAATGTCACCACAAGGTACAACACACAAGCTTGAATACATATTCATGTGCAAACATCCCACTTACATCCATTGCGCAAGCTGTTTGTAAATACGAGTGTTTAACGTTAGCTATAAAATCTTATTTAGCGTGTTCACATTTTAAATAATTAAATAATCATTACATTTTCGATATACATAATTTGGCCCACATACTGTATTAATCCTTATAAAGGGGTTGTTTTACCCTTTCCCCCCTCATTTTTAACTATGTTGTTATTGTTGACTAAAACTAAAACTATTACAGATCATTTACATTAATGAAAAAATAAAGCTGAAATAAATCAAATATAAATATTAGATTAATAACAAAAAAAATAAAACAAAAATTTGAAATGTTGCCTTGGCAACTGAATATAAAACCTAATTAAAAGTAAGTAAAAGTTTGAAGTTGAAAAAGTTGAAAAGTTGAAGTACTAAAATTACTCAAATAAAAATAAATCAAAGCAAAATAGTAGCAAAAGCCCATAACAAAAATACTAAAGTAAACAAATTAAAATGAAACCTGAAATATAAAATAAAGGCTAATTCAAATTATTAATAAATACTATAATAGTATATAAATAGTACTGAAACAACACTGACATTTTGCTAATATTCTGGGGAAATATAGAGAAATTTCATCTCCACTGGCTTGTGAAAGTTCACATTTAGCCTACATGTGACCATTTTATCATGGATGATTTTTCCAAATGTTGTTTTGAAGGTTTCTCCAGAACACTTCTGTGATAAGATATGGGCTGGTGACCTACATTATAAAGAGCATGAGTGTGACTTCCTGGCTGCTTATGTGGCCATTTGTTACACGCATCAGATCTGCTTCAGCTGGAGGAAAAGCAACTTCTGCCGTGAGTGTGTTTACAGATACTCTACTAGTCAAATGTTTGGACGCATTTTCATAAAAACCATCTGAAGGTTTTTGCTTAAATGCTTCACTTTTGACTGGTGGCATATTTATTCACTTTTGCATATGTGTATGTGTTTGTACACGCAGCACTCAAATGTCCTCCTGGTAAAGAATATAAAGCCTGTGTGAATACATGTAAGACTCGAACATGTCAAAACCGAGATTACTACGAGGAGAGCACCTGTTCTTCTATCAGAGAGGAGTGCGTGTGTAAAAGCGGCACCATCCTGCACCGAGCAGACTCCGCCTTCTGTGTCACCGAGGACCAGTGCGGTGAGAATGCCACACTATGCATTTGCGTGCATGTAAAAGAAAGTGCTGTTTGCCTTAATGGCCTGTTATTTCCATGTGATCAGTGTGTACGGATAACGATGGTGCTCCACGCGCCCCGGGTGAGGTGTGGAACGGCTCTCTGCGTGGCTGCTGTCTGTTCAAGTGTCTGGAGAATGGTAGTGTGGTTCCTGTGGAACCCGAGTGCAGTTATGAACCTGCCCCGCTGTGTGAGAGGGAGGGAGAGTATGCAGTTGATGTGCTGGAGGAAGGAGTCTGCTGTCCTAAGAAGATTTGTGGTATAAACACTCATGGATGTATACTTCACAAATACGTCAGAAATAGTGTACAATCCTGGCACATTTGATGTACTATTTTTTTATATATATATGTGACCCTGGACCACAAAATAAGGGTACATTTTTCGAAATTGAGATCATCTATGCTGAATAAATAAGCTTTCCATTGATGTATGGTTTGTTATGATAGGACAATATTTGGCCGAGATACAACTATTTGAATATCTGGAATCTGAGGGTGCAAAAAAAATCTAAATATTGAAGAAAATCGCTTTTAAAGTTGTCCAAATTAAGTTCTTAGCAATGCATATTACTAATCAAAAATTAAGTTTTGATATATTTACGGTAGGATATTTACAAAATATCTTTATGGAACATAATCTTTACTTAATGTCCTAATGATTTTTGGCATAAAAGAAAAATCTATAATTTTGACCCATACAATTTATTTTTGGCTGTTGCTACAAATATGCCCCAGCGACTTAAGACTGGTTTTGTGCTCCAGGGTCACATGAGCTGGAAAGCTCTAATGTCCAATGCTAATCTCACATTCACATTTAAGAAATTCGTGTTTTTACTCTGCGATTGTGTATAAATATAAAAAACATTTAGATTTTTTCTTTCTGTATGAATTATTTTTATCCTGTTTTGCTGACCCCTTTCACTTTTTAAATATGTTTATTTATTTTATTTACCCGTTTTTGTTCTTGCCATGAAAATGGCCTTAGATGCCGACATGGAACAAAACAACCAAATGAATAACAAAACAAATCAGATACGCACATTAAAAATGTACGGTATTTTTCTTCCAAGAAAATGAACCAAAATATGCATGACTAATGCTTGTGTCTTTGTGTGTAGAATGTAACCTCACCATCTGTCAGAGTGAAGTGCCCAGCTGTGAGAATGGAGACAAGCTGGTGATTGGCTACAGCGCTCTGTCCTGCTGTCCCGAATACAGATGTGGTAAGAGTTCATGTGATCCTTACTCTGATTGGCTGTTTATTTGATCAGTGGACAAAGGTCAGTCTTCTGATTGGTCTCTGCTAGAATGTGATCCGCTGGCATGCCAGAGTGTTCCTGCCCCGATCTGCAGAGAAGATCAATTCCTGGTGGAGGTCAGAGGGGCACACGCTTGCTGCTACAGCTACATGTGTGGTAATAATATATTATAAATACTTGAATACTACAGCTGACATTCTCATCTCTATGCTAACAATACATTCATTTATATATTAAATTATAATTAATAATAAAATAATTATCAGAAGGTTGTTTTAGTATTTTATATATACAGTATATATATATATATATATATATATATATATA